TGATGCTTGGAAATAACAAGACAGTTCCACTTGTGGAAACATCAACTCTGGTGAGCTCACGTAATAGGATTCTGAAACTTATAGCCCGCTTAATACCTCGTTACGAAAGATGCACCTGTAATGAATGTGAAGTTGTTTCCAGCATATTTGGAAACGCATTTTGGCACGAAAACTTAAGTCCAACCGTGCACCAGCGGTTGAACAAGGAAAGCTCAACAAGGCTCCTATGGCAGCATTTCCCCACCTCAGAAAGATATGCAAATCTGGTTAAGTTTTATAGTAGACAGCAATGGTGGCAACTCCTACTTGATCCACCCAGAAAGAATGGCACTCCCAACACTATATATATATATCGCGCGTTCGGTCTCTCCTTGTGATTCCTCAAACATCTTTTCTTGCTCATAAATACATGAAGTTGCACCAGCCAGGGTTTAGACATGAAAGGGTAGTTGTGGTGGGTTTCGGGCATTCAGATTTGTTGATTGGAGAAGAGTATTGCAAGAAGGTCTTTGCTCACATTTTATCTCATATACGATTAGCTGAGGAAAAGAATAATACTGCGGTAAAGAGGCCTTGGATTCTGACGCAGATCATTATCAATATGAAGGATTTGGAGAATTTGGATCTAGGTTTTCTCCTTTTAGTATGATCTTCTGCTGGCCTATGTATCCCCTTTTTTGTTGGTCCGATTATTTCTACTATAACTAACATTGGCTAGTTTATAGTTGTTTCCATCAAATTATAAGTTAAGTAAAAATTACTTTTTTCCTAAACAACCTTTATGTGATGGGTTTGGTAGAAATTCACAAAACCATTTAACTTTCTTTGTTGGTCTAACATCTAAAATTTGAACGCTGAAAAAAAGGAAATAAAAAGAAAGGGTATGGATGCTATTTAATTTTAACGTTAGTAATGTAATGCAATCATGTCGAAATATAATATCCTACATTTGTAGTGTAACTTAACTTACAAGCAAAGGTCAACCATGTTATAGTAATATCAACGTCCTTCAGTCTAATTAAATATAATTAAATATAATGTTAGTGCCACTTAGTACTGAAGTCTAGTGGTATTTCTCTTCACTTGTTAGTGAGAGATCTTAGGTTAATTCGATTCTCGCCAAAGGCGAATTTGAACCACATTATAGCTAGCCCATTATGAGGCTAAGCTCATCCCGTCCTCTTTAGTGTATATAATATCGTTTGTTCAAAAAGAAAATATAATGTTAGTATTTTTATGTAACCTAGGGGTGTAAATTTGAAGGACTATAGTATAACCTTATTTTTCTTGTAATTCACCATTGAATGTTATGTTGTAACATTGTTATATATTAATGTAGGGAGCCCATAAGTGAATTATGATGTTTTGTAATTTCATGAAGTCCTTTTATATTTAATAAGATGTCCAAGGTGTTATAATCAATATTGGTAGTTTAATGCAATCACGTCTAAGTATAATAACGTAATTACCAACCTTGTTATAGTAATAATAACGTTTAGTGTTATTTATTTAACCTTTCCATAATAAAATTGTACTTAATATCAACGTTCAAATTAAATAGTACCGATATTATTTTTTTTATTAATTAAAGAGTACCGTGAATTTCCTTTATCGTTATTCAATTTTTCTAAGCTTGAAACCTAAACAAACCAATTATATATACCAAAGCCCTACGGCAAAAAACACTGGTTCTCGGGATCAAGATAGCTCTTGTAGAATTTGCAAAATCCATTGAAACCGTGTGTTGCTTACCGTTTTTGTCAAAGATGCAATTATTTAGTTTTCACAAGAACTTTTGCATACCTTACTACATGTTAAATGTTAATGCCTCATCCGAATGGCTTATACTATTTTCCTTATTGCACATTCAAAAAGATTTAGCATATACTTGAGGTTTAGTTTTCGTTTCCTTCTCCCTAATTTCGCTTCTAAAAACATTAAAAAAAATTAGAAATAAACTATATAGGGATGATAATATATGTACTGTCATGTTGTTTCTCGAACCCCTTGTTCGTGTTCACCTCTAAACTTAATCAAAATATTGCTTCCCCCTGAATCAATAACCATGATTGAAACAATGAATCACAAATAGTACAAAAATGAACAAGATAAGGAGTGCAGTGCACAGACGAGAAAACTGGCACACTGGGTTTGTATTATTGGTACGCACCATGCACTCACTATGTATTTCACTGCAGATTAGTGTACCAAATGTGGGTCCCAAAACATCGTGGACCCCAACTCATACATGTGGGACATGTGCAGCCACAAGCACCATGAAAAGATTTTGGGGTGCCTCAGCATAAACCCACGTGAAATACCGTAGCCATCCATACCTTCTTCCCATGGGTTCCTTCCGTTTTGCAGATGAGAAGTTTTAGCAGCAGATCCACGGATCAAGTAATCCACCCAATAATTCTCTTAATCCACCCAGAAAATAAACTCTTTTCTTTCTCTCCAATAATGGGGTTGAAGGACTTCCCAAGGAAGCTGCTGTTTCACGTGGCCTTCCTATCTGTTCTAATTGCAGAAATGGTACCTAATATTGTGAATTAATTAAAAAAAGTGCCACTACTATACATGATACATTGACTATTTTAAATGGACTGCCTTGCATGTGTGCATGTGTACATGTGAAAATTTGCAGTATAACAACAAAGAAGAGGGAAAAGGAAAAAAAGAGAAGGAAAAAATATTTTAATCTGAGAGAAATGGTAGTTGGTGAGGTTCAGACCACCATTGATAACTTTCTTCCATTTCCTCCTGTTCGCTCCTCCCTTTTTCTACTTTTTTTTTTCTTTTATAACATGCGGAACTCCCTTTTGAGTCCTTCGAAAAGGAAAAAAAAAACCGAAAGAGCTAACTTTTTAATGCAGACTAGCAAAGGTCATACACGAAGAGAAATATTCTTTTTGCTTTTTTATGAGAGTAGTGATTTGTTTTTAACGGGTTCGAAGGTAAGGAGACGAGAGAGAGAGAGAGAGAGTAGAGGGACAAAAATGTTGAAGAGGGGGAGGTGGGAGGAAAAATAGAGATTATCTGGCTGTGAGTAGAGAAAAAACCAAGAAATTGTTGTGTGTGATTCACCGTATTGCCTGTAATTAACTTTTAGTTTGGTTATCTTCTTTAATTTTGTTGATATTGTTAGAATAGTTTTTTCAAACTTCTTGAGTTGACAAACAGAGTTCTATTAAATAGTAGAGATATGCACAAATTAAATTGATCATAAACTTGTAATCATATATAGAACTTAGGGGCACTAAGCAATACCTTAAGCCGTATACAAATCATAGTTTAGAGTCCTTTATTGTGTGTTTAGCATCCATCCAATTATATTTTTTTTTTAATTTCTAAGTTGGTGTATATTTCCCGCAAGGGTGCAGTAGGTAATAGGAAGAGTTCCCTAGTTAATTATCATTTAATTAGCCAGGTATGGCTGATATAAATTTGTATTATTAAACAAGAGCAGAGTAGTTTTTGTCTTTGATTAATTGTTTATTTCACCTTGTAACATGGCATGATTCCCTCGTTCAATCATGAGGAATAAATGGCATGTTCATTTGAGTTATTGACTCTAATTTAACCATATATATAAACTATTAACTACATATATAATGGGTATGAATTGGCTGTGATTTTATATTATTTCAACTTTTAGACATACAGCGCTAAACAAAGGTTCATATATTCCTGTAAATTTCTTGTTTCTCATCATTTTTTGTGTTGCATAAAACATGTTTATTAAGGTTAGAAATTATTTTAACTTGTAGTGAGCAGTGACTAAGATGATTAGGGTTTGATGTTGGCAAATACACACGCTTTAATCGATATTTTCTTTTTCTTTAGATTATTCAATGATGGATCCACTTTGAGCATCATTTTCTGTATCTTTGTCATACTTAGAAGTTACTCTTTAAAAGCTGAAGAAGGGAAGGAAACCCTAAGATCGATGAAACCCAAATCATTCGAAGCATATGTAGCTTTGGGTTCCACATCATTTGTGTATGCCTTAAGATAAAGTGGCTTTTAGTTACTTTTGTTACTCTGTTCCAAACCTATGTATTAGGTATAACTGTTTTAATTATTGCTTTTTGACATAAACATATGTGAAACATTTATTTTTGTAAGGATAAATCCGTAAAAAGAGCAATGTTAAGGACTGTCATACACATATTTGTATGAGTAACTTTTAATCATCAATGTCTTACAAGTAGAGTCGTTCACACATAATATAATGGAAGTTAATATTTTCAAAGATTTTTATAAAGAGCAATATTAAAGGGAGCGTCCATAGGCATGTGAATGATCCCCACCCGTTAATACTTTTGGGTTTCACAATACCATGTATCAATAACTGAAAGTCATCCACTTGCACGTAAACATCTGTCGCTAGCAAAATCCATTAATAAATAAACTGATTGAAAGGAAAGGTATGGGGTGAGCAAGAGTTAAGCTCAAATGGGTAAACAGTCCTACTAGAATCAAGGGGAAAAACAGTCCTAGTGTTTAATCTCATTAGTTTTATTATGAAGTATTTACTTGGATCAGACAAAGAATCAAGGGGAAAGGAAACATTTTTATTGTGTGTTTATGATCTAACTACTCTATACTCTCTCGAGTTGACTAAATATGATATAACAGATAATAAGAAATAATGCTAGGGAGAACATAGACCAAATTTCATGAACTATATGACGTGATTGTTAACGGTTGAATTATTACTTAAATGTTGATTAACGTATTTTTATTAATGAGAGTAAGAACACTCGCACTGCATGAGAGAGAGAGAGAGAGAGAGAGAGAGAGAGAGGGGTAGGGGTAGGGGTATTCACCACATTCTCCATCCCATGTATGGTGTCGGAGAAACTTCCAATAAGTCCAAACCCTTCCCCGTCATTACTTGCAGTTAACAGCCTGTTGCAGTCCCTAAGATCTTATTACGAGCCCCTCATCTTATTACAAACTAATCCACCCCAATTATTCACTAATTATTCATTTGTTTATTATATACCAATTATTCACTAATTATTCATTTGTTTATTATCTACCATCACATATACATTAACCAATCTTCTTCTTCTTTCCACTACTCCCTCATACAACTACAGTTAGTTACACTCTCTCACCTTCTCTCTCTATCAGTTTCCGAGACTGAAAATGGTGGAAAGCCAGAGAGAATAGCATGGTTACGAGCGTTTACCCTTGCACTCGAGCTCCTGTCTTCGAATTCCGCCCTCCGCCCACACCACTCGTGGCAAAAGACACAACCCAATAAGCAGAACAAGATGCAGTTGAGGAAAACCCAATTGCTGATCTTCTTATTTTTGTGCTGTTCTTCATTTGGCATTGCAGCTGTGGCCAATGACGAAGTTTCTGCACTGCTTTCGATGAAAGCAGGCCTCATTGATCCACTAAACAGCCTCAAAGACTGGAACTTACCGGAAAATGGAGCTCACTGCAATTGGACAGGCGTATGGTGCAACACTGAGGGGCACGTAGAGAAGCTTGATCTCTCCCACATGAACCTCAGCGGCCCGGTATCCGGCGACATCCAACGTCTCCGAAGCCTCACTTCTCTCAACCTCTGCTGCAGTGGCTTCTCCTCATCACTGCCAAAATCCATCTCAAATCTCACAGCATTGAAAACTTTTGATGTGAGTCAAAACTCACTTGTTGGTGAGTTTCCATGGGGATTCGGAAGTGCTGGAGGATTGACGGAACTCAACGCTTCGAGTAATAATTTTTCGGGGTTTCTTCCTGAGGATCTCGGCAATGCCACAATGCTGGAGACTCTGGATCTCAGAGGGAACTTTTTCGGGGGCTCGATTCCAAAGTCATTCAAGAACTTGCAGAAGCTCAAGTTTCTTGGGCTTTCCGGCAACAGTCTTACCGGGGAAATCCCCGCTGAGTTTGGAGAGCTGTCCTCATTGGAAGCTATGATCCTTGGGTACAATGAGTTTGAAGGTGGGATTCCAATGGAGTTTGGGAATCTTACCAACCTGAAGTATCTTGATTTGGCAGTTGGGAATCTTAGTGGTGAGATTCCAGCTGAGTTGGGGAGGCTTCAGTTTCTTGAGACTGTGTTCTTATACAAGAACAATTTTGAAGGCAAAATTCCAGCTGAAATTGGCGCCATTTCTTCGCTGAAATTGCTGGATCTCTCTGATAATATGTTATCGGGGGAAATCCCAGCTGAGATTGGGGAGCTGAAGAATTTGCAGCTTTTGAATGTGATGAGTAATCAGCTGTCAGGTTCAGTTCCATTCGGAATTGGAAGTTTGAGTCAGTTAAGTGTTCTTGAGTTATGGAACAATTCGTTTTCAGGTCCTTTGCCTAGCGATCTTGGCAAAAATGCCCCATTGCAGTGGTTGGACATCTCATCCAACTCATTTTCCGGTGAGCTTCCATCCACATTGTGCAACAAGGGCAACCTCACCAAGCTCATCCTCTTCAACAATGCCCTCACAGGTCCAATTCCGGCGAGCCTATCCACGTGCCTTTCGCTTGTTCGTGTTCGAATGCAGAACAATTTTCTTTCCGGAACAATCCCAGTTGGGCTTGGCAAGCTTGAGAGGCTTCAGAGGTTAGAATTAGCAAACAACAATCTCACTGGTGCAATCCCAGATGATCTTTCTTCTTCTACTTCACTCTCTTTCATTGATGTCTCTCGAAACCGCCTCCATTCTTCTCTGCCTTCCACCATTCTCTCTGCACCAAGCTTGCAAACCCTGATGGCCTCGAATAATGAATTGGTCGGCAAAATCCCAGATCAATTCCAGGACAGCCCTTCACTTTCGGTGCTTGATCTCTCATCAAACCATTTCTCAGGAACCATCCCAGCAAGCATTGCTTCATGTGAGAGATTGGTAAGCTTGAATCTGAGGAACAACCAATTGAACGGAGACATCCCGAAATCAATTGCCATGATGCCCACATTGTCCATTCTTGATCTGTCCAACAACTCTCTCACTGGTGGCATACCCGAAAATTTCGGAATCTCACCAGCCTTGGAGACGCTCAATGTCTCATTCAACAAGCTAGAGGGTCCTGTCCCAGAAAATGGTGTGCTGAGAAGAATAAACCCGAGTGATCTTGTGGGCAATGCCGGACTCTGTGGCAGTGTCCTCCCTCCGTGCATGCGAAATCCAGTGCTGGCATCGAGGCATAGGAATGTGCACACAAGGAACATTGTTTCAGGATGGGTGATTGGGATCTCATCAGTTTTAGCAGTTGGACTCGCACTTTTCAGTGCTCGAACTCTATACAAGAGGTGGTACTCGAATGGGAGTTGCTTCGGAGACAGTTTCGAAGTTGGCAATGGAGAGTGGCCATGGAGACTGATGGCATTCCAGAGGCTTGGTTTCACAAGTACTGACATCCTGGCTTGTGTGAAGGAATCAAATGTGATCGGAATGGGAGCCACCGGGGTTGTGTACAAGGCAGAGATATCAAGATCAAACACAGTTGTGGCAGTTAAAAAGTTGTGGAGACCGGCAACAGACATTGAAACTGGAAGCAGTGACGATCTAGTTGGGGAAGTGAATCTGTTGGGAAGGCTAAGGCATCGAAACATAGTTCGATTGTTGGGATTTTTGAACAATGATACGAATTTGATGATCATATATGAGTTTATGCCCAATGGCAGCTTAGGAGAAACCTTGCATGGCAAGCAAGCAGGGAGATTGCTTGTAGATTGGGTTTCAAGGTACAACATAGCAGTTGGAGTTGCACAAGGTCTTTCCTATCTCCACCATGATTGTCACCCACCAGTCATCCATAGAGACATCAAGTCCAATAACATATTGCTTGATGCAAACCTCGACGCAAGGATTGCGGATTTCGGGTTGGCACGGATGATGGTTCGGAAAAACGAGACAGTGTCAATGGTGGCTGGATCATACGGTTACATAGCCCCTGGTGAGTTTCTACCTTCCAGTTTCACATCTCAACTTCACATGTTAATCTGTAATTTTCTTGCCACTAACAAGTTTGTGACTTTGTCGTTCTTTGATCAGAATATGGATACACATTGAAGGTTGACGAAAAGATCGACATCTACAGCTACGGTGTGGTTCTATTGGAGCTTCTAACAGGAAAGAGGCCATTAGACCCCGAATTTGGTGAGTCAGTAGACGTCGTGGAATGGATTCGGAGGAAGATTAAGGACAACAAAAGTTTAGAAGCAGCATTAGACCCCGGTGTAGGAAACTGCAAGCATGTTCAAGAAGAGATGCTCTTAGTCCTTAGAATAGCATTGCTTTGCACTGCCAAGCTTCCGAAGGACAGGCCTTCCATGAGGGATGTCATAACGATGCTCGGAGAGGCGAAGCCCCGGCGAAAAAGCAGCAGCAACAACAACGATGCATATGCAGCAGCTAACAAGGACCAGCATGTGTTTAGCACCTCACCTGTACATGGCCTTCTCTAGGGACCGAATTTTGAGTTCCCCCTTTCGGCTATCATTATTTTGATTTTTCCATTTTTCGTGTTGTATTTACGATTGAGATTTATTTACTGTTTGTAATCAATGGTTCATACTGGTGTAAGAAGCATATATCCAAGTAAAAATTAAGTCGAGAGCTTATATTTTTTTTACTCGACTCCTTCTGAGGACTTACAAATCGCAATTTGACATGTACGCAAAAACTTATGATTTTTTTATGTTAAGGAGATATATTTCCGTACATGACACAAATACAGAGGGATGTGTACTTATGTGTAAAGAGCAAAGAAGTGTCCATTTAACAATATCTCTTGTTTTCTCTCCATTAAACAAGGGGGAAACCCAAAATTGCTCGTCTGCTGAACAGACGAGCATTTGAGGGCGTTCCCATATATACAACTTACACAACATTCACCAAAGTAAGCAAACGTATATATATAGCAGTATTACATTGAAAACTACGGTGGCTGTGGTTTTCAAAAGGTAGGGAGATCGATCTCGGAGAAGGCGTAACAAAAACAAAACAAAATGGCATTCGACAGCACCAAAAATGAACCCGAAAACCAACGGTTTCTCCCTCTTCTTTCCAAAATGCTCCTACTATGGGTTTTGTCCACTTTGTACACTTTCAAACATAGGTTGTCTCTTCTTGCTTGTGTTATGAGAAACGATCTAGATTGGCTTACATCTTTGCCTCACATTCTTTTCCCGTAACAGCGGAGCTGCAAATCAAAATTAACAGAGTTAGCATCGGGTGAAACTAAAGCTTTCGGAGACAAATTCGATTTTCAGAGACAAAATTAACAGCCATCCCTACATACCAAGTCCGTTATCCTCAGATGTCTTCATAATCCTCAACCTCTTCACAGTACCAAGAAACATCCTGAATGCAAAATAAGTAAAAACGCATAAGCTGTAGGCAAAACCAACGACTCAAAAACCATATTCTTCTGCTCAGTATGGCTTTTAAAATTTTAGATAACGGTTTCCAGTGACACGAATTATAAATATGAACTAGCAGAACAAGTCAATAACTACTGAATTCAATTATAGTATTACGCAGGCACCATACGCTTCATCGTTTATTGAAAAAAAACTTACTCCCAAGGAACATCTCCCACAAGCATCCAGTCTCCATCTTTATCTTCGTAAGTGAGCGCAAACTCAAATGATCCATCCAGCAATTTTGAGGGTCTAGTTGCTCCTTCCATCTCCGGACCACCTGAACCTAATTAATAGATATGATACCATCATCACTCAAAAGGAAAATATTTCCATCCCTAGTCGGCTGAAATAAACAAAATTTGATCTTGTCAAAGTGAAAACCATGATTTCAAGTGGACTTTACACAATCAGAATACCAGTAACTCTTAACTTTCATAAATGGAAAAGTTTCGGCAAAATAAACTCAAATCTGGAAATTTTCTTGATTCAATTGACATTCCAAGAAAGCTTGGGAAGATAATTCGAGTTCCACAGAAGGACCGTTGTGCACAACTAAAATTCAAGTTGCCAGGATTTGGGAACAATAAATGACTAACCATGTGTCGAGGGCCCATGGAACATATCCTCCAATTTTTGTGCTAGGGCTTCATACGAACTATGTGCACTTAAATTAACCTTTCGCCCAATAGGAATCCCGTCCATATTCACCTTCACAAACAGGGAACCACTCTGCTGCCCTATCTCCTTAGCATTTCCGTTGGTCTTGTGACCTCCATTGTTAACCTTCCCCGCACCAGTCTTGCACTCGCTTCTCTCATTTACTGAGTTAGATCCTTCGGCAGATGAAGATTTCGCTTGGTGAACCAAACTGTTCATTCTATAAGCTCTGATAGGAGGCCATCCCACAACCTGACTGCTTCAACAAACAAAAGATACAATCCCATCAGAGAAGAAAGCAAAACCGAAAACCTTATAAAAAGCGGCAAGGTTACAATATTTCCACATAAACAACTCAACAACCGGACGCTATGTAAGTCCTACTACCTCAAGCAACAATGAAAAGCAGAAAATCTAATTTAATGTCTCCGGATAATTACACAATCATGTGTATAAATGTTTGTACACTATAGTTTTAATCTAGAACTATAATTGTGAGTAAACCAATGATCCAGCAAGGATATTTGTGCATTGAGCTAAACAAGCAGAAGAGGTTATTTGCAACCAGAACAACTGACAAATACAAACAAAGGTTCTTAAATCCGACAACAACATATGAAAAAATCAAATCAATGGCAGAAAATAAGATTGCAACAGAACATCATGGTACCGAATACTTGGAAATTCTAAAATGGTAACAATAATTTGTGATGTGCAATAAGAGAACCCAATTAAATTCTAAAACTAGAGCCAACAATCAACCAATGGAGCTCATTAATTAAAAACAAAAAAAAGAATATTTTTTAATTATCTTACCTGCCACCATTAGCAGCAGCCACAGAATCAGCACTTCTCTTGGTTCCAGCCGCAACATTAGCACTGCTCAACGAAGAAGAAGTAGAAGACGACGACTTGGAAGCCGACGAAGAAGAAAACCCCGCAGAAGGAAAATCCTTAGCAGTCAAGATCCTAGCAACTTGACCCCTTTGCCCTTGCTGACCCTTACCACCACCACCACCACCACCACCAAGGCTCAGCCCAAGACAGAGCTCGAGCCCAGACTCCTCAGGGGTAGAAGAGTCCTCAGAAGACATGGCAAAATTCTCCTCCCTGGACAGCGTTGACTTAGTCGACGGCCCACTTGCAGAACCTCCACTCTCCATTGAAACAAACAAAGCTTCCTCCTTTCCACCTCAATTCCAACAAAAAAGCTCACAGGATCAGAACCCAGATGGTGGATTTTATAAAAGTTGCAGGTGGAGTGATTGCATAAATGTTGAGACAAGGGTTAGGGTTTAATTTGGTGATAAATTGAAGTTAGGGGAAACTGATTGAGACAGAAATTGGGAAAAGGGAGAAGTGGGTTTTGCTTGGGGCAGTGATCCTTTGCACAGTTGACACAAAACCAAAGGTTTGTCGGGCGACTGTGCTCAATTTAATTGAGCGAAAAAGAATCCTATATGCTTTTGTTTGATCGGTTTTGGGAAAGGGAGAGGGGCGCGGGGGCAGGGTTAAGTTAATGGGGGTTTGCTTTTCGGGTTGGTTTTGGCGGTGGGTGGTGATAGTACGAAATGAAAGAGATGGGTCCACTCATACTCATGTGGGGCGGGACCCACCTTCAGTCTGCTGTCTGCCGTCTGCTTTATGCGTCTCCACCAATATCTTTGCTTGCTTCTAAGCTATCTCTCAATTTCTCGTCCCCACTTTACAAGACATGAGTTATCATTCGCTCGTCGAGCTTTAAGTCGTTTTAATTTATTCACTACAATTCTGAAAATTAAATAAAAATAAAGATATAATTACTGTTTTACGGAGTTTTAAAAAATCTAAATATTTCAAAAATAAAAAGATAAAAATTTATCGAACAAAACGCATTTCTTCCTATACATCAAGAGTAAAAGGGGCTGGGTTAAATTTTTGCTCTATCTTATGAAAATTAGGAGAAGACGTTTAAGGAGCAGATGGAGGAAATTCTCGTGCCTTTAAGGTAGGAAAGGTGAACAAGATATGGAACCCACAGCCACAACCCATACGCTCCAAACGACAAGCCGACAAGCTGGGTCCACCCATCACAGGCCTCGACACGTTGGAATTGGGACCGCGTAGGGCCCGTCCTTGGTGTGCACGTATCTTGTGACACCTGGAACCAAGGAAGCATCGGAGTTTATGTGGACAGCCCAACGGCGGATTGTAGGAGAGACACGATTCGCCGGGGCTTGAGGTCCGAAATTTTGCGAAACGCTGATAAGTCCGCCGGCTGTCACGTGGACTCCTCCGTACTTTCTCGTTGACACGGTGTCATATAGGGAGGGGACACGGTCCGTCAACGGGAGGGATAGACCTGATAAACAAATTGTGTTTGTTGTGTTCGTTTTATTTTCATGTTAAACTTATTATTTTAACAATCTCGTCGTGAAACCCAAATTATCTTAACAGGTTTAAGCATTCAAACCCCAACCCAACTGTTAAAATTCACGAGTCATCTTACTAGACTCGTTTGCACTTATAATCAAATAAAAAATTTCATAAGAAATCCCTAAATAGTAATATATAAATTGGTGAGGTTTTTTTTTTATTCACCAATAAGACTACAATAATTTCATTAAGCACCACAAGTTCACATATATATCTCACAAGTTGAATATCAAAGTGTGAGACGAACAAGACTACTAAAATAATAAGAATATTATTAAACAAACGAAAATGCCGAAATGGCTACATGAGCCGAAGATGATACATCTTGACTGACTTATTTCTCAAAACTAAATTACAAGCAATATTTGTAGATAACTAAACCTAAGAAACCCTAACTCGGATAAGCCCAATTCCTAAACTAACAAGGAAAACCCAAACACTAAAATAAACATATATACTAATATTTTCCAACATCACATACATATGACTTTCAACACATCATATTCCTACAAAATATCAAATGTTTTAAGTTTAATGAGTTGAAATAGGTTACTCGGGTGTAGAGCTGAATCAACTCTTAGTTAACGGATTGACCCCTTAATTCACTTGACCAGTTAGACCTTGACTCGGAATTCGTTATTTTTTGTGTTGTTTCATGTCAGGTTAATGGGTCATGCATTAAATTGTCACGTTCAGATAGCGAGTAAAAGTCATAGCGCAGGCATTCAATGTGAGATGGTGACACCTTAAGCATCTTCAAAAGGAAAATGACTTACATGGCACGAGTTTATCACCACGTGGCGTGCCGTACCAATAATATAAAGACATATGTTGATTCTTTTTCAAATTTACTTGTATTATTGGCATTGAACGCCACCGTCACAGTGAACTTGCACAATACAAGTTGTTCTCCCAATGAAAATGTCAAAAAATATGTCAAATATAAATTTGAAGGCCTATATGGCAATGTCAAATTTCCTTTTGCTTCAACCAATTGTTTTTCTTATTCAAATTAATAATTGTATGACTCACTCTTCAATCTAAATCAATAACAACTATTTTCATGATTTATAATTGCAATATTAGGACCCACGCAACAAAACATTCACAAGGTAAAAGACATCACATTTTCTCATATGTCAAAATATGATACTTAGGTACTCATAAGTAATAGGGAGTACCCTATATACTCACTTTTTTTTTATTTTGATCCAATAATATTCTAACACATGGTTTATTGTTTTAAAAAATAACGGACATGTTATTTAATTTTTCTTGGACTTAAAAAAAATGAAATGTGTGACATATTTTGATTATGTGACATTTCACTTAAATTTGGGCATCACGTTATTTTAAAAAATAACCATTGTCCCCCCGTTAGCAAATGACATATTTTGTTTATGTTATTTAATTTTTCTTGGACTTTAAAAAATAACATACATGTTATTTAATTTTACTTAGTGAGTACCTAAGTAAATTTGTATGTCAAAATTGGCAACACATAATCTCTATATCAATCCATGTAGGATTGACATATCAGTTAGAATTTCTATCTACTTTCAAATTTTATTATGTGACATTCCACTTAGAATTGGGCATCGAGTAATGTTACACTTATCACATATTTGTATCATCTATCTAATATAAGTAGGGCCCACTACTACACGTGTGTCTCTCTCTATTAGAGAGATGATATAAATATATAGTAAGAATAACATTTTTAATTTGGTATCCTCTTTTGAGATGCTCTTATTTAGAAGTCTTTTTAATTATGGGGCACAATTAGAGTGATGTGCAATTTTGGCGACCAAAATTAAATAATGTCAAATGAAGAAAAGAAGGTAAATGTGGGCATGTTTAATTCGATCCACTTCTCCACTAATCAATTGCATCAATTAAAGATGGATTAAAGAATGATTACGGACAATGAAATATAATAATGTTGTAGTAATGCACAAAGACGTTGGCAAGGTTCGGGATAATGGTTAATTTTATTTTTGAGGATAGTATAGCTTTGTAATTGTTAGTGCGTGACATTCCCTTTTTCTTTGACCGGTTGAAATCGCGAGCAAAGTTTCTATCGATGCCTATTTAATGCACCATACCCTCTATTTGTACATATCCATTTCATCGTATCAATGAATATCGTACTTATTCTAATATATACTAATATTTGTCTACACACTTTGTGTGTATGAACACATTTTTTTTAGAAAATAAGAAGGATAGAGGGAGAGAGAGAGAATGTGGGGGGAGTGGGAGGTTTTTTTTTTTAATATTGGAGGTACTTTAACATCATCTGTAGGTGAGACTTCAATAAAAAAAAAAAGTAAAATATGAACTTATGAAATTACAATATTGCCCAATTTTTTTTTTTGTGATAAAAGACTAATTTGTCTTTTTACCCTCTTTTGGTTGACAAAGAGAGTTTTATTAATTAGTAGATATATATATATATATGAAAAGTTTGTTTTTATCAAATAATGTGTCAATTCTTCATTTATTTAAATTTAAACTAGCCTTCATGCACGCACGCGCATAAAACATTTTTTGAATTACGGCGTATTACACGCGACTTACATGTTTTAAATGTATTTATATGCGTGAATTGACAAAAGGAAAGTCAAATATTTGAAGTAAATTAATAATCTTAGATCATGCTAGAAAAAAAATCTCACAAAACCAATCAAAGCAGCCGAATTCACATAATAAAATCGGTTTTTCAATTTCTATCTACATTCTATTGAATTTACATTAAGAATAGAGAAAATAATATTTAATAAACAACTGATTGAATTACATTATTGCTAGCCCATTGAGAGGTTAAACCCAGCCCCTTAACCCTTAGTGTAGATAATATCTTTTCTTAAAAAAAAACTAATAATAATCATTTGACAATCAATTTAATCATTATTATGCACGTGAGAATGACCTTTTTTTTATAACTAACATTACATACCTCTTAAGATGTTTTGAACGTGTTTAAAAATAGAAAAAAATAATATTTAATGAACAACTGATTGAATTACATTATTGCCAGTCTATTGTAGGGTATTAATTTAAAAAAAAATTGTACATAAAGAATTAAATTAAAAAAATACTTTTAAAATAACAAAAATACCCCTGCATTATTTGGTGGATTATTTTGGATTGCTTTGAAATTTTTTTATTTTGAGAGCATTTTTGTCCAAAAATTTTAATGAAGCTTGTGACTTCAAAAGGGTTGTTAGGTTTATATATAAAAATATAGCACATGCCTCAATACACAAACGATTTTCTATTCATTTTCTACGAAAATTTTGTGTGTACCGAAAACATTACACAGAAACATTTGTCCCGCACTTCAAACGTATTAATATAACTTAATACCTATAATTAATAAAAATAAAGGACACCAATTTTATATTGTAGGTCCATGACCACATAGTACACGTCAAGATTCAAGACGCAAATGTTTTGACTTTAAGTTTTGATTTTCTATGAATTGACCACTCATCATTAATTTGTATTTTACTTCACGTTAATATTTGGGTTACTTGAACCTTCTACACTCTCTACATTTTTAATATAAAAAATGGGTTTGACTACAGCGACTCATACTACTAAGACCATCTTCCGTGATTGGGATAAAGATTAAAATTTAAACCTTAAATCCCTTCATATCATCATCAATCATTGGGTTAAAATAAGCCTCGGGGATAAAATAAAATTTTGGGCTACTATCCCCCACCCCCAAGAAAATAGTCATGGTTTATATCATTCTGGAGTCACAAGTTTTTTTTTAAATTTTTTTAAATTTTTTTTACTTATAATCCAACGACTGTGATCAAATGAGATCAAATCTAGCGGTATAAAAAAAAGATTAGAGTCATCAGACGACCCAAAATTAAACCAAAATCTAAAATAATTTAAATCAAATTTCACTCAATACCCATATATTTGTATGATTTTTATTATTTATCAGAATTTAAATATTTTTTATTAAAATGTTCATAAAAATAAACTAGGATAATCCACATAAATTTTAGTTTACCCAAAAAAAAAGAGGCTAAAGTCATTGTTTAAGAATCTAGGACTAAAATTTTAAGCCTATGCATTAAAGAGCAATTTTTAGGTTATGACTCAAAAATTTTCTGACTTAAATTTTTAAACTTTATCCCACCATTAAAGATGATCTAAATGATACAAATTTCTTGTAAAATTAAGTTACAAGTATTCATTAGATTCATATATGCAAGATTTAATCATTGATTTCCACAACCAATCTGTAGTGCATAAAGAAAAATTGCAAAAGTATGCCTTCTTAAAACTTAACATTTTATTCCACCAAATTACTTATTAAAGAAGAGGAAAAACAAATCTAGGGAAATGTCTATGGGCTTTTACAAGGAAACAACAGCCCAACTCTTCTCTACCGCTCCACTTTCTAAAACCCGGCCCAAGACTATAAACCGAAAGCTTTGAGCTTTCCCACCAGTCACCCAAAAAACTGAAAAACTAAAAACTGGACAAAATACTCAGGTGACAAGTCTCTATGCTATTACAATTCTGTACCAAGTTTTGTATGAGATGGATGATTTAGAAGTGCAAACGCTCTTGCATACTGATGCGTTTATTACTTCAGTTCTTCGGACTCGCCGATACTTGAGTGGGACAACCAGTGCATGCCGTACAAGCAGGACCGGGGGCACTGTCGGAAATACCAATTCGCACTGTTCGCTGCTTCTCTTCGTTTTCAGGAATATGGACGAGGGCATCCATGATTAGGATGTCCCAATCGCGAGGGATGAGATACGAAAGCCAGGTGTTATCTGCGAATGAGAAATCCGATCATTAAAGTACTAAAAGAGTTATCAAAACCCGAGAGATATATGTAAAATGTAGTTTAAAGCATCAAACACAAAAGTCTAGCTAATTTTTTAACATTCTTCACAAAACTTTGATACACAAATTGGGATAGCCTGGTTGTTCCAAACAAACCAATTTGGAAAAGATCTAACACTGACAACAAGTTTAAGTACACATCAACAAACGATGTTGATCAATTATATGTCGTTGGATGTAAAATCATGCACCATTATTATGGTTTTAAATGTATATTCAAGTAGCGACAATGTATGAAAGTGCGTGAAGTATCCAAACACCAAAATAAATAGGTGTGAGAGCACATGCACACAATGTATGTCTTTATGTGTATTTGCTTGTGTGTTTGCACATACAATCATATGTCTGTTTTTGTATTTAAATCAATACAAACCTCCTTTACGTACAGCCTTCACCTCCAAGACTCCCGCGCCTCGTGGTCCAGACACAGGAAATGTGCAAGCTACAGAATGCCGCTTATGAGCTACTGCAAGCGAAGCATTGTACCATGGGCCCTTGGCAATAGGTTCCCCTATAGCCTCTATGATTGCTGGGTTCTTACTGGCTTTCTCCATGGCCTTGCTGCAAAGATTGGATCGTTAGATCCGGATCCAATACCTTCTTACTAAAATTGTATAAAGGTGAAATGTTCGAATCTTTATTCTTTTGGAAAGAAGAAAGAATCACAAAGTTGTTGAGGTTAATTCACTTAGATGTTAGTGGCACTTGTCCACAAACATAATACTACTCATGTTATATGACATTCACCGAAGATCACTCTCGGTTGGACTATAGTTTATTTTGAATAAACACAAGTCCGAATACTTTGCAAAAGTTTTCAAAGAATTCAAGAAATGTAAGTTGATGAGTAAGACGTCTAAAGTATTTACCTCCTTAGATTTGATCCAAGGAAAAGAAACACTTTAGATGAGTCTCCTTGAAAGATATCAAGGAAAGAAGCATCATAAGATAATAAATTTCTCCATTAAGGAGAAGAACGAACTCGAATAAGATTTAGTTTGTTAGATGTTATCTATTACCCATATATAGGATATATACTTCTAAAAACAATATGATTGTCAATTAGAAGATCTTCCAAATTTTTCATGACTCCATAAGATGTAGTTGGAAAGAAAGACAAATCTTAAGCATGTTAAGATTTGGGGTTATGTGCTAATAAGCAATATTTGTTTGATAACAATCTTGTGGGATATCCTTAAATTAACTATTGGATATCGCTTCTATAAACCAATTAACAAATGTTGTTTTGTTGGGTAGTTCATTGTAATCCTACAATGTGATTTGCCTAAAAGCAAATGAACGAGAGATAGAACTCAAAGAATTCGTTCTTTGAGAGACAAGATGATAATCAACAAAATATAACAACCTAGTTCCTATACCACAAGCTCCAACGTAGTCAAGAAGGATTTATAAACCATCTCGGTTGAATGGTTTGAACTTTATGACTATGTCATAGAGTTGCACCTCTTAATTCGAAAGAAATAAGAATGAAAATCCTTATGACTACATTGAGTGTATATATATGATATATACTCAAGGAAATGGTAAAGTACCATTTAACCCGAAATAATGAAACCTTCATAAGCTAATTGGTAGCTTAAGGTAACTACAATCAAAAGGATGGTTGACTTTGAAGAAACCATCTTTGACGTAGTCTTGGTTTCAATTAATTCGAAGATAGCTAGCTACAACTAAATGATGATTCAATGTTTGGACATGATATGGGTTTCCGAAACCATTATTAAGATAGTCTTGATAATATATGTCTAAAAATATAAATCACAAGACATGTAAGTTGTAGAGATCCATCCATCATGAATCTTAGCAAGCTAGTGGGAGCTATGAGCATCTTATGAGAAAAAGGATCAAATCGTTTGATTTCTCATAAAGATGTAAATGAATCTTTTGTTTACTAGGTTTACAAAAGATTAGTGGGAGTTAATCATGTTCCTAAAATTTAAATATATATGATATATTAATTTTAGAAATGAAAAGAATACTTCTTCGTTAAACTTATGACTTTAAACATTCTATAACGATAGAATGTATATGGGAGTTAATCATGTTCCTAAAAATTTAATATATATGATATATTAATTTTGGAAATGAAAGAATACTTCTTCGTTAAAGTTATGACTTTAAAACATTATATGAAGATAGAATGTATATGGGAGATATAGTCTATATACATGGGATGGAAATCTATAATGATATATTTCATGATATAATTGGATTATATCAAACCCTAATAATAGACAATAGATGCTAGGAAGTTTCTCATATGATGATAAATTTCATATTGTATGAAAAACATTGATATGAGTTGTACCTAGAACGGTACAAGACGATATCAGTGCAAGCCCAGGATCAGAACCATGGCAACTGTCAAGTGAGTCCTTAAGTATTTAAGAAATACTAAAGGATAGATTCCTCAAAGAATGAGGAAGAATTAGAGTAACGTAAAGGAAGCGTAAATGTATTAGATTATGAATCTAATCCATCATTGGATGTTTCTTCATTATGAATGAATAGATAATCAGATATCTCTTTATATGACTAAAGAGATTTTGGATGGAAACATTAAAAGTAATGACTTTAGTGTGTTCCATTATGAATGCAAAATATATTGCCATATAGAAGCTTACAACAATGTTGTTTGGATGGGAAAGTTCATTTATGAACTCTCTATTCGGTTCCAACCAGAAAGTGTATCCAGTGTACTGACACTATGACACTAATGGGGCGATAGCTTAAGCCAGGGAATCAAGGTCTCATCAAGATTCGAACTCAAATGAGAGACTGAACCACATGATTGAGAATCATGTATAATGGTGACGTCGTTATTCTCAAGGTTGCTTCTATGGATAACATATAGATATCCATTGTCTAGGCCTACTATTCAGCCATTTATGAAATGACTACAGAAGAGGTATCATCACTGATGACTAAGCTGATTGGCTCTAGTGCAAGTGGGAGATTGTTGGAAATGTGCCCTAAAACCAATCATATGATGATACTTTACGGACATTTCACATGTTAAACTAATCTTGTTTAATATCAAGGGCAAAGATTATTGTTTGAGCCATCTCATATAAATGTTATATGCTTAAACGATAAGTCCAAAGGAATATGTGATTGAGAGAATGCGATCTAAAGAAGTTAGATTCATGAAACCATTCTTTCGTAGACATATCCTAAACGTTCCTGATCATAGGATTGCCAATTGGGCATTGACAGTTTGTTAAGATCAGTACGTGCTGTGTATTCTCTCAGGGAGAGTACTAGTCTCGAGTCATTGGTGTGTGTGACATCAAGACAAGTACGTAGGTGCTCAATAGAGAATGAGTTCACTGAACACGATCAACGAAGAGTTCTCATATTCATGTCACATGAGAACTCATGGTTGGGATAATGCAAAGTAGTCCTTTGACCTGAGCTGCATTGCGTATGTACAAGATTAAGTTACACTATGGTGTAAATCACCTCTTGGTTAGTTTTCCGCGCCCTCTCTACAAATATACTTTAAATCTATATGCTTCCTATAAAGCTACATTACACGGTATTGTAAATACAATCTGTAAATTCATATAACCAAGACATTATCAAACGTGTGATCTAATTTGTAGAACCAGTCATATAATAGATCCAAACGATTTCCAAACCCGAAAAAAGGAAAAAAAAGGGCCTTTTCAAGGACTATCATAGATTATAAATTAGACCAGACCAGCGATGCTTCCTAACATTAAGAAACCGAACTGCACAAAAAACAACGTTGTTCATAAACGCAAGTTCCAAATTTGAGTAAACTGATCAATCACATCAAATGAAACAGAAAAAAAATGTCCCATATACTTGGAAGGAATACCTGCTGCAGCTTTGATAAATCACAAGATCATTAAGAGCACTTAAAGCAACACCGCCGGTAGTGGTAATCAGAATAAAAGACACCGCCTTTCGCCCGAAAGACGAGCTCTTCCCTTCGTCCACTGTCTTCGCCGCCAAACTGCACAAAACCCATCTCATTAATCACATCACACTCCATCAAATCCTAATCGGAACAACAAGAAATTGCATCCATTATTTCATATTTTATGACCTCAAAAACCCAAAACTACAACGACCCAGTTCATAATTTTTGTGCAAATTAAATCTGGTAATGCTGCAACAGCTGCTATTCAAAGTTATAGGAACTTGGTGAACCGATTACTCAACTTTTTGGCAAAATATGGGAATTAAAATTTGATCAGGAAATTGAAGAGAAAATAAAGTAAAAGTTGAACCTGGAAAAGTGTGGCGCTGAGGAGCTCCTGTTGAGGAACGAAACCAACCTCCTCGACAGCATTTTCTCTGCTCGCTCGCTCGCTCTGAGTCCCAGTCCTCTCTTTCGTATGTGCTGTGTGTTCCTTCTACTGCTGGCGTGGTGCCCTTTGCTTCCAAGTTTCAAGCCCCCACCGATGGACCGTTTGGTCCCTCTCAAATGTAGAGAATATGGGCCGGTGTTTATATGGACCTAAGGTCCATTTTGTCAAAAGGCCCGTGATCGATAGTTTGCTTTTTTGTTTTTAAACAAATCAGTTGAGATAAATATTAAAAAATTACGTCTTCGAGCACTACGAGGAAGAGTAAGTCGCTAAGACGTTATCACAAAGCGCAGAGTTTGTCCGGATAAGCCCCTAAAAGGGGCTTTGTGGAGAAAAACTTCAATAGGGTAAATGACTTATTTTTAAAGGATTTTCTCATGTAACCAATTTATAGTTTAAATGGTGTCACTCGACCAGCTAATACTTATCATATGTTCAAAATGTGAATCCTTTCTTTGGCCCTACTCTTTCTCACAAACACACAAACCCTCCCTTTTTTTAGATTATTCGACGTGTTTTTTCTGTTAATCCGGCCCTACCCGTGACAATGTCACAACCTTATAATGGGAATAGGATCCCCTCCGAATCCTCTTTGTGGGGATTCAGAGAATCAATCAATCATGTCCGTTCATCGTACGGTTAGAAATTATTTTGAGTTTTTATTTAAAATTGAATATAAATAGTACTTAACGAAAATTGACCGCACAATATACGATAAAAGGACACGATTGATTGATCCCCAGATCCCCAGAAACCGGAGAGGAACCTCGTCCCTTATAATGTATCAAGTGCTCAAAAAGCCAAATGCAAAAATGTTTCCCTCCATCACTAAAAACTAAAAACGTTCTCAAAAAGCTTGTATCACACATTATATTGTATATATCTATACACAAAAATGGACACATTACATAGGGTTACAACTTAGGCTTACAAGAAGTAATTCATGAAGGTAGGTTTTTCTCTCACAAACCAAGCAAAACCCTAGCTTCTCTCATCTCCCACCCAATTGTTCTTCTCCTTTGGTCCAGTAGGACCTTCCTCCCCATAAAGCTCAACTGGAAGCTTATTAAATATGTTCTCCAATCTGTACTTAAACACCACAGGCAAGACATTGATAACCTTATCAAGCTCAGTTCTTGAATTGTACACTATTGTTGGACCCCACTCTCTCATAAACTGCAGCCAATCCGGCTCACTCACAACCCCGTTTCCAAGATACTCGGCTGCAACAATCTCATACCGAATGCTTGAATCCACAGATAAGTTGCTGCGAGCAGCATCGTTCCTTATTCCGATGCCTAGCTTGTCTGACCCCTGAAGGAAAGTCCCGGGATGAGGGTAGCTCGCATGTCCATTTTTGGATAAGTAGACAATGGCTTTGTTCCCGTCTGTGTACTCCAAATCATATGCATCCACCCATTTGCCACCGCTGTGCTCCGAGAAGTATATGCTCTGGAGCTCTCCAGAAAAGTTGCAGATGCGGAGTGTGAAATGCTCCCAGTCACCGACATGCTGTCCGATCTTGCTAAGAGGGAAGTCCAGAGGCCCAACTTTGAGAGTGGCTGGTCCATTGAAGGGACAAAACACCCACATTGCAATGTCAGTGAAAGTCCCACCAAGAGCCGGTTTCACATGAACATAAAGTTCTGCACTTTCCAAGTTTCCGCGTTTTATTATCTCTCTTCGTTCACCAGTCGGCAAGTCAATCCAAAACCCCCCATCATTTGACCCCCCGCCAGGCAAATTTGAGCCACTACCATCAATAGCCTCACCATCCGACGTGCCAGTTTTGTGCAAAAGCGCTCCACTTTTGAAGAACCATGAAACAGAAGATGGCAAGTAAATCTCTTCTGGATGAAAAAATACGGTGGGTCCATAATGATGGATAAGCGAATGAATTTGATCAAGGTTTGGCATTCCAGGCAGCTTCGGATTCAAATTCTTCAAGCATCCAATATGCACATCCTTTCCAACGTTGGAGTCACTAGTGCAGAAAAATGTACCGGCAGAAACCCCTTTCCCCATCATTCCCCGATGATGTGGTCTTGTAGTCCAAACTTGGAAAGGAAGATTTAGAGATTTTGTAATCGCATTAAGAACTGGGCGGTAAGTTTCACATCTGTCAGTCAAATCAGCTCGAACGCACCTCACTTCATCCAACCGAGGTTTATCAAGCCTGTTAGTCACTAAAAAGCCCATTGCTTTGTAACCTTCTGGTGGCTGAGGATGCCAAAAATAACCATATGCACCATGATTGTCCCCATTCCCGTCATCAGGGCTCCATACTAACGTGTAATCAAGTGGCTCTCTGAGAGCCGGCAACTTGACACTCTCCCCAACATCAGCTGTTTCTGGAAACTCTGCCTCTTTAACCACAAGAACAAAACCGTGTAAAGGTTTATCCTTGGATTGGCAATAATGACCAATGCTATGGAATCCATCAGGTATTCCTGCTGGCTTATAAAACGTAACATGTTTTTTCTTGTCCTCTGATGGAGTGCAGGCCCAGATAAACTCAAATCTGGTTATCTTGGAAACCTCTATTTCTCCGAGATTGATTCTTCCAGAAGCAAAACCTTCACCTGAGAAGAAAAATGCATCCCTGAATCATTTAGAAAAGTAGTCCAAACTGCCATTCGTATAAATAAATGGAATCACAAGAGCTATGAACATATATTTCATCATTCTATACTAGGAGTACTCAAGCATTCGGTCTTTCCCATAGACTATATAATTTTTTAAAATTTTTTGCGTTAACGCTTAGTCGTACTTGAAAAGATTATTTCTGAATTTGCACAACCTCCAAAATTTTGCATGTTCATAAATAGTCAGCTGCAACATAAGTGAATATGAAACTACAGAAAGAAACGAGCTACTTAAATTAAAGCTTTGATTAAGAAAACAAAGAATAAATGCATCATAATCCAGAAAACTCACAATTAACGACATCAAGCACACTAATCATCGGAAAGAAGATGAAACCATCCAAACATGAGGTGAAGTTCAACATATGTTGTGGCACAAACTAACAAGTAAATTTCTAACTCGTAATTCATTATTTAAGCAAAGGAAGAACAGATAAACCCCAATTTCTGGAGCTTTGAAATCAGCAATCATGTGCTAAAAAAACAGAATAAGCATTCACTAACAATATAGGCAGAAACATATAACCAGAAACTGAATGAGCAAAAAGACTATCTTAAGCTGCTCATTAAGGACATAAGAGATCATTTATAAAGGGAGAGAAGCTTCAAGAGGGAAAAAAAGGAGAAAAAGAGTGTCCTAGTAGAATGACTAAACAATGGATATCGAGTTAAACCACGCTAACCGAAAGGTAGGTTCTTTTGCTGCTGTGCATCATATCTAGTGGAATACAACTTAACCGCCATCTAAAGCATATGGTCAATGAACAGGCTATTTGCACACAACATCCACACTTGCGCTAAAATACCGAGTAACCAATGCAACACAGTATAACAAAATCATTTATGATCGAACCACAAAATCGTGAATATCAGCATGTTCACAAACTTACCAGAGCATACCAGATAACATATACAGACAGAAAACAGGTTGATGGCGATGAACAATGACCCTTGGAAACGCATAGGTTATAAGTTACATGTTAGCACTCCAGCTCAAATTCAAACAACCAGTGGAGGTTCATCATGATTCCGAAAATATATGCTTAGTTAGTTCTGATAAGTGCAAGTACTTTGGCAGAGGAATCAAACTAACCATAAAAATCTCTAATTCCCATAAAAAAAACACTGATTAATATTTGCAATAATAAAATAACTTCAGCTTCATTTCAGAAATTAACAAAAGGAAAAGACATTTTCTTTTCAAATACAGTTAGACACTTACAGTTTATCTAAAAATATAACGGCTATAATGCATGATCCATTAACCCAAAAAAAGTAAACTTTCATAGCCACATATGATAGCATTCAGCAGAATCCACAAACCCATCAACCCACAATCCATAAAAATTCCAAATACTAATCAGATAATCTAAAAAAACAAAAACCCAGATCATAATTTTCAAAAACAAAAAGAGAATCCAAAAAAGATCAAAGCTTTTGCAGTATAATTTTTCACACCTGGGGGCCATTGAGGAATGGGATGAGGCAGAGAGAAGGGTTCTTCAGGCTCAGGTGGTAATAAATCTGTGAGCTGATTCCAATGGAAGCACTTGCACCCGAACATCACTAACCCGAAACGGAAGCCGAAACTTTCTGCTTCTGTCTTGGCCTCTGATCTGAAACTCGGATTTTATTGTGCTCGGAGATGTGATTGCGACAGCTCTGTAAGTGATGAATAATAGAATGCTTAATCATGTTTGTGGGCCCGACTCCTACAATGCACACGTACTTTCTATAATTTGTGTTCATGGCGGAAGGAGATTTTTTACAAAGTATTGAATATTGTAATTAAAAAAATTTAATTCGTTTTTATGGCAGAAGGAGATTTTCTACAATATTTTGGAATATTGAATATTTTAATTATATGTTTTATAAAAAATATTAAATTTAATAATTAAAAAACTCAAAATATCCAATACCAATCTAAAAAATCTGCATGGTGGAGACTGCGAATAGAATTCTTTCTCCTTTTACCTTTTCATTTTTTGGTCAAAACCTTTTTCTTTTTCTGTTCTTTTTTTTGTGTGTTAAAAGTAAAAGAGATTCTACAACGCAAAATAAAAGAATTAGTAATAATAAATTCACCACTCTTTTTCAATATGTTAAAATAACATTTCTATGAGTAAAAATCTTGGAATAAAAGAGCATAATGATGATCAACAATAAAGCAAAAAAAAACTTTTTTTTTGCAAACATAATTTTTGTTTAAGATGAGTCCCATTTGAGAGTCATCTTTGAACCACTTTTTTTTTCTTTTAAGATAAGTCCCACTAGAAAGTGATCTTTGATCAAACCAATCCAATAAAAACATAAGTAGTGGTTAGGATTTTTTTTTCTTTAGTTCACTGTATTTCGGGTTTAAATCCTTTTCATTTCTCATAAAGATGAATTTAATATAAATCTTATATTTTTTTTAATAAACAAAAAAGAAAAAGAAGTTGAATTGACCTTAAAATTTGGTTGTGCATTCATGTTTAAATTCTACTCAACATACACAATTGCGAATTTAAAAGAAGGGGCATGAGATGCTAAAAGGTATGTGTTTATAATTTTTTTAAAGAAAAAAAGGGAGATGGTATATGACACATCCCGACCTAGATCAAGGCACGCTGGCTGTCACGTGAGAGACGTAGCCATGTGCACAGTACGGAAGCAATAAAGATAAGAAATATATGAATAATTAAAAACCAAAACTACTAGAGTGCACTACTAAACAGGAAATGTTAGGAGTAAGATACAAGAGTAAATACTTCTAATCAGAGCATAGAAGTCTAGGTGCAGTCCAGTAGGACAAGTACTAATTATACAGTACCATAAGATGTCCTACAATTATTTTATTATGTCAGAACCGCCGAAGTCCTCAAGGCCACCAACAGCAAGCGTACCTAAAACCTGGAGGGGCGCAAAACAGAAAATGTGAGTGGGCAAAAACAAATGTTTTACAAAACCAATTCATTTATCAATATTTCTAACCCCTCGCAGTAAAACATGTATAATTTTTCCCAGAATCAGAATATAAGCATATACATAAATATATATATGTAAATATATCAATTCAAATCATGCTTCACATAATCATATTCATATGTATGTCATGCCAAGATATAACAGAGTAAGTAATTCAGGTGAGAATAACTTCATAGAAATATAACATATTAGCCGGAACCCTTGTGGTAGTATGTACGGCTGAATTCATAGCTCAAAAATCAATCTAGCCGGAGTCACTACAATGACCTATACGGCACTATACTGCACAAGAGTCAGAACCAAATGAAAAGGTATGTACGACAATACTAGGTGTAATATAATTATGCTTAATACTACCCTCACATAATTGCTGGGCGATAAATCGCCAGTCACCTACGAGTTGGAACCATAGTAAAGGTCCGTACGACAAGACTTTGCACCTAAATTAGATCCAATATGAGCATATGGCGCGGGAGGTGACATTATAAACAAGCATGTGCCATATCTTTGGCTAAATCACAATCACCCTAGGTGCAGTTTTATGAGCTCAACGTTATTCAATCACATATCACATCATCGATAATTCAAATAACCAAACATAACTCACCTGAGCTTACCTGAGCGTCCACAACACCACAATTATATATATAATGCATCATATACCAATTCATATGCGAATTATAAATTTATATGCATGGCATTCAAGGTATAATCTCATTTAACGTATTTTCTAGGAAAATATCAAATATAAATATATACTGAAAACCAAAAGCCCACTCACTGGTATATCGAAGGGTCGTAGCCCCCGAGTAGTCCTTGAACACGCTCGTCCTCGGGATAAGTCTCACTTATATGCGAATTAACTATAAAAACATTATTTAAAACACATAGGCAAAACTAGCTAATAACTTATCATACAATGCTCAAATGGGGTGTTTGAATATACCAACGTGATCTACACAACCTCACGAACATCCCCATATTTTTAGAAAAAAATTTCGACCACCCATGCGTCGCCAACACGCCGGCACGTGCCTAGCACACCCACGGCAATAGTGACGCCGTTAGGAATATTCAGTTAAATAGTAACAGAATCTGTTAAAGTTAACTAACCTCAAAACTCCGACGACCGTCGCCAGCGTCGAAAACTGGGCAAAACTTGAAACCTTGATATCTCACTCGATATTAAACCAAATTTCATGAATTTTATGTCAAAATGAAGCTTAGAACAATTAGAACAAACTCATACCAGTTTTAGGACCTAAATCCCACGAGATTCGCCGGGAAAACTCCTCAATATTCCGGCCAAACTTGCAACTCGTCGTTCTCGCTATTCCGACGTCCAAACTCTTCCAACAAACCACTCCTAGCCTCGTAAGGACCTCCTTAAGCTACCTATGAGCTCCAAATTCCTTAAAACCTTCAAACTTACGTGTGCATGAACAATGCACAAAGTCGGGGTTAGGATTTCTAGGGTTTTTGAAGCTTTCCATTCTAAAAAATGATACCAATGAACTCAGAAGCTTGCAAGGAACAAGAATCTTACCTTTTTGACATCGATCTGTGAAGTTTGAAAGGGTTTTGGGTGTCGTCCATACGTGAGGGAAGAAGAGAGAGTGAGTCCGAGGGTGAGAGAGTATGAGAGAGAAGAGAAAGATGGATAGTGTGTGTGTGTATGTTCCACGTGGGTCACCAATCAACCCCAAATTAATCACCATTTGCAGATGGGACCTACTAATCATTATCTTACTTGCATCATATGCAATGATCTTCATTAAACTTTCATCAATTTTCTGGTTTTTATTTATTTTATAGTTTTTTATTTGTGTGAGAACAAAAAAATAGTATCAAGACAAAGTTTAATTAATTCAGAAGTAAGCTTTAAGTTTTCATTTAAAAAAATCACAGAGGAAATAGTTATCAACCCCAAACAAGAATTTAATGTGTGCACGAGAGAGAGTAACTGACACACCCCGACCTGAATCAGGGCATGCTGTCCGTCACGTGGGAGTGACGTAACCATGTGTACAGTGCGAAAGCAATAGAGATAAAAGGAATTACGAATAAAAAACCAAATCAACTAGAGTACTAACTAAGATACAGTGCTAAAGCAAGATTAAGTGTGAAATACACAACTAGAGCATAAATAGTCTAAGTGCAGTCAAGCAGGATAAGTACTAAGAATACAACAACCGAGGGTTATCTTACATGGTGATGTTTTGTCAGAACCCTCGTCAGAATCCTCGTGATCCACCAAATCACCTCTACTTGAAACCTAGAGGGGCGCAAAACAAAAAGTGTGAATGGGTAAAAACAAAGCTTTTCAAAATCATTTCATTTCTCAAAAGTTCTAACCCCTCGCCGTAAAACCTGTATAATTTCCCCCAGAAAAATAGAATATATACATATCTCAAAACCATGCTCAGAAAACGATATTCAAAAGTATGCCATGCCAAAGTATCTCAATGCAATGCTATAGGTAAACCAGGCAAAATATATAAATATCAAATATCGCATCAGCCAAATCTCTCTAACTCAAAATGCATTTCCGAGTATATAGCTCATCACCAATCTCAATCATATCAAATCAAATCCATTTCCTGCACACGAGTCGGAACCACCTCAAGTGGCATGTACAACAAGACTAGGTGTAAAGTAAATATGCTTTAGTGCTACGATCACGTGAAGGCTATGCGAATGATCGCGGGTCACTTACGAGTCAAAACCACCTAAAGTGGTATGTATGACAAGCCTATGCACCCAACTTAGATCCAAGGTGAGCATATGGTGCGAGAGATGAACATCACGTGAAGGACTGTGCTCTACTCTAGGCGGGAGCACTAACACCGGGGTGCAGGTTTATGAGCTCTCAATACATCACATCATACATCACATAACCGAAACAATCTCATACCTTTGATTTATGAACATACCTGGCACTTACTTGTGCGTCTGCAGCACCAATCATGAATGTATGCAACTACTAATGCATAATTAAAATAGATAGATACTTGCATGGCATTTCCAAAACATATATTCATTTAAATTAATTTTTCGGAAAAAATCTCAAGTATATAGGTATATACGGAAAACCAAAAGCACACTTACTGGTATGTCGAAGGGTCGTAGACCCGAGCCTCGATTGATGGCGTTCGTCCTCAGGATAGGTCTGACCTATATGCGAAATAACTGAATAAACATTATTTAAAGCACATATAAAAAATTAGGAAATAATTTCTCATACAATGCTCAAATGGGGTATTTGAATATACCACTGAGACCTACTCAACCTCAGGAACATCGTCGTATTTTTTGTTGATACACAAAATCAGCGAGGACTTTGGTACAACAAAAAGTGTTAAGTTTGTAACCTTCGCTAGATTGCTCCGGTCATTCGTGTGGATAAGTATGTAAATGGATAGAGACAGGGAAGCAAACACAAGATGTATGTGGTTCACCCAGATTGGCTACGTCAACGAAGTAGAGGAGTTCTTATTAATTGTGAAGGGTTCACACAAGTACATAGGTTCAAGCTCTCATTTTGTGAGTAGTTTCGGGATTGGTCAAGTATGGTACAAACAGTGCTCCCCTAAGTTCTCGAGTGAGGGAAGCTCCTCGGTTGGGGACTTGCAAGATCCAAGCCATTGAGTAATCACGAAACTTCTAAGTACCGAAGTGTGGTATCATTTTCACTT